TTACTTTTGTTTGTTTGTAATGGGGTCTCAAATGTTACCTGGGCTAACTTGGAACTTACTGCATAGTCAAGGTTGACCTTGAACTCCTGATCCTCCTCCTACCACCTCCCCAGTGCTGGGATTAGAGACATAGTCGATCACACCCAGCTGCTGCATATCCCTAAAAGCACAGAGAGTGATGCTAGGGCTGAAGGGTTCAGATGTAGCTTCTCTGGTCACTGAACATGCCCAGGTGAACAGAGGACCAAAGATGCACACTGCACCTCCATGGTAGGATTAGCCCATTCTGAGCTGAGTGAATGCACTGCCATGCCCAGCTCCCTACCAAGCTAAAGAGTACCTGTTTTATCCTCAGGAGAAGACAGCATGGGATCTTCTTCCTCTACACCTAAACCTAAAACCAGTGAGTTCGGCACAATGCTTTCCCTTGGTACTTACGGTGAATTGGCAGAAGAAGGAATTGTGTTGAAAGCCCCATGGGGGACAGTGTTCACTAGCGCATTTCTGAGCTAGAAGAGTTCAAGTTTACCATAATGCAGAAGCCGGTATCCCCAAGTAATAGAAAGAGGAATCAGAAAAGACCTGACTGGCAGCTGGTAGTTTGTGAAAATCTAGTTATGTTTCCACTTGTTCCCCTCCCTGTGGGTTAGGCACTGGAAAAGACACACACACACACACACACACACATACACACACACACACACACACACACACACACACACACACACACACACACACACATGCCAGGGTGGGGGAGCTTGGGGAGTCAGGAGGCATTTCGGTAGTGCCTGCTGAGGTCAAAGGACCCACATCTCCCCATTTTGTTTGGGGGAAACAAAATTTGTTTGCATAAGGAATACAGGGTGTAGGACGCTAGCCTCTGCTTCTTTAGTTTGTATACCATTTCAAGTATAACTCTTTATCTCATCCTAAAGTCTCAGTCAGACGGTGAATCTCAGCGGTAGAGGAGGGCTTGTCCTGGTATGCAAAAGGCCCTGGGCTCACTTACCCAGAATTGGCAAAAAAAAAAAAAAAAAAAAAAAAAAAAAAAAAAAAAAGACCCACTGTTCTCCCTTCTACAGAGTTGTAGTCAATTTATAAGTCCCCGTGGGTAGTGGAGGTACTTGCGGTCTTATCCTAGAGGGATGACAGGAGAAGGGTAAGGGACACTGGTCCCTCAAAATTGATCCCTCTCATGTTCTCTGCAGGCACAGTTACCACGGCAGCCCCAGAGACCAGCTCTGCACCTGCATCCTGTTTCTTCGACCCCACGTAAAGGAACACGTTTTATCCCAGCCATGTTTCACTGGGTTTTTTGTTGACCATTTTGTCTTGGAGCCTTAGAAAGGGTAAACTGAGTGGGAGAAGAGACCAGAAACAGTGAAAGAACTTAGTGTTTGATCTTAGAAGTAGAGTTCTGCTGGTGTTTTGTTTGCAGGGGAGGGAGGTTGAGCATGTCTCACAACGTAGCCCAGGCTGGCCTCCGACTTGCCACAATCTTCCTGCCTCAGCTTCCCAAGTGCTGGCTTATAAGCAGTATGAGCTCAGCGTTGCCCAAGATTTCAGAGATCATGAGTCCCCTGAACTTACACAGTGTTGAGATGTAGAGAATTGGGAGAGTCTCAAATGTCTCTGGAACCCAAAAGCAAACTGTCTCTTCCCAAGCAGTGGGTGAGAGCAAGTGCGTCAGCCTATGTGAGACCCTGAGTAAGAAAGTTAAGCATGGATTCCAGGAAAGGCTCCAAGAGGTCTGTGCCAGCCGTTCATCTACTCCCTTTCTTTGCTGAAACAGAAAGGAGCATTTAATCTTGGCCTTTTTTGCCGGGGTTCTGCTGACACTGCTTCTCGTGGCCCTTATCTTCGTCATCATCAAGAGCTGCAGAAAAAGTGAGTGGTGTCTGTTGGACTTCTCTTGCTGTCACTGAGAACATGAGCAATGAGTAATGGGGAAGTGGAGAGATGGCCCACTCAGCCCACACTCTGCACAGATCCACTGCGAGGCCCTTCCCTTTTCTTCCTTGCTGCTTTCCCCCTACACCCCTACCTACTAGCCTTCACCCAAAGTTGAGGGGAGAGGCTCCCCACTCCTCCAGACCCCATGGTGAGAGGACAACCCTCTTTTTCCTTCATCTGCTGCAGGTTACTCCAGGGCCCAGGGCCAGGACCCCGTCTCAGAGCCTCCCATTAAGGTAAGACCATGCTGATGTTTTGGGGCTGCAAGAGGGGAATTGAGTGTGATAAAGGTGGCGTGAAAGTTATTTGGGGGGAGTTGGTTTATTCTGTGTCCTTTACATACTGGGTTGCTGACTGGAATGTTGGTGTCACTTTCCGGACTCTGGGCAAGTCTCTTATGAGTTCTTCTGCTCTCTTTGGATCCCACTTATGAAAGCTTTCAGGACACCTTTAGAGAGACACCTTTCACTGCAAACTAAATTCACTATTTCTCCTTTCTCCTCAGAAACTTTCATCTGTATCAAAGGAGTCACTCACCTATGCCAGCATGACTTTCAAGCCCTCAGAAGAAAACAGCAATGACGTGACTAGAAACCACTCTGCAGGCTTGGACCCCACTGTCTATGCTCAGATTAAAGTGGCAGGCCCACACCTGCCTCTGCAATGAGGCAGAATGCAGGACCTCAGCTCAGCTCCAGCTACATGTTGCTTTCTGCCTTTGTCTTGTATGTGTGTTTTTGTTGTTTGTTTCCTACCAACTTAGGAGCACAGCCTATGTACAACAGCAATCAGAGCTGTTGAGGCTTGATCTGGAATGCTGTCATCAGTCTTTAAAATCAGTGGTGCCGGGTGGTGGTGGCGCACGCCTTTGATCCCAGCACTCGGGGAGATCTCTGTGAGTTTGAGGCCAGCCTGGTCTACAGAGCGAGATCCAGGACAGGCACCAAAACTACACAGAGAAACCCTGTCTCAAAAAACAAAACCAAGAAACCAAAAACAAACAAACAAATCAGTGGTTAGTTGCTTTCCCCACCAGAGAAGAGGCTGCTGGTGCCTTTATTCTGACTGGCGGCGGCAGCTCCTTAGGCAACTCTCCCGAACTTCCCGAAGGGGGACAGAGTTCAAGATAAAAGAGACCCACTGATAACCATGGCGGAGCCAACCCTAACGGACAGTCTAAGATTGTCCTAAGGGCAGACCCTCCTCCAGTGTTGTACCTTCTTCACCAGTTCTCACTCTGTCCCCACCATCTTCTCCAGAAGTCAAGATCAGCATCCTAAGCCAACACAAAGTCCATATCGTATAAAACACTAGTCAAATGTGGGTTTCTGTCTCCTCTGTGTGGCATTAGAGATGTGTGTGACAACCTTGGTTGAGAGCCAAAGGTAAAGATTAAACATGTTAATTTACCCCCCAAAACAAAGGGACAATTATATAGACTGCCCCACTAAAAATATCAGGAAGATTCTTTTTAACTAGGCAAGCATACTCTAGAATGTAAGTACTAAACAAGAAAAAATTATAAAATAAATATGAGGGCTGGTGAGGTAGTTAAGGACATTTGCCATCAAACCTGACAACTTGAATTCAATCCCTGGGATTTACACGGTGGACAGAGAGGACTGGGTCCTGAAAGTTGTCATCTAACCTTCACATTTACTCTCTGGTGTGTGTACGGACCTGCACACAAACACACATGCACAAAATAAACATGAACTTGACTGTTGTGACAGCATTCTTAAGACCTGTGCGAGCCCAAGCATGGAGCACACAATCCTACCCCTAGCTGAAGAACTATTGACAGTTATTAGCTGCTGGGAAACAGTTTTCTTGGTTTTCTCTAAGAGTATATAGTCCCTGGTAAGTTGGCCATGTAGAAATTCAATACATGGCCACTGGGCAAGACTGGGACTGGCCAGGAGCAGAGGGAGAGCATTTTTTGGTCTTCAAGACTCAAAAGGAGAAAGGCTACAAGGAAGTATGCAGGCATGATATTCATAACCTTACCCTTTCCCTCAGGCTTTGAGGGTCTGGGAGTTCCCTCCCTATAGAAATGAGTCAGGGCAGAGCCTAAACTATGCTCATCGAATGCTTTGCAAGAGCCACAATATAATCTGACAAGATACATACAGAATCTGCTCAACACCCAATCTCCATTCCAACCCTGTTCAAACCGGAGGACCACTTGAGGATTCTGAGACTGAGGGTGGGCCTACACCCCATCAGAAGGGACCATGGCATATTAAACTGTGAGCTTCTGAAGCTGGGGGAATGCCTCAATCAGTAAAGGGCTTGCCTTGCAGGAACAAGAACCTGACTTTGATCCCGTGAACTCATGTAAAAATGTGGGGCATGGTAATGGTAGGGCACGCTTGTCATCCTAGCCCTGGAGACGTAAAGACTGGAGTATCCCTGGGTCTCACTGTTCAGCTAGCCTAGCTTCATCAGCAAGCTCCAGGCCAGTGAGAGGCCCTGCTTCATACAAGGTGGGCAGCTCTGGAAGAATGACATCTGAGGTTATCCTCCAGCCTCCACATGTACAAGCATACACATTAAACACATGAGTGTACACTTCTCCCACAGAATACCAGCATTTGTAGGAGGGCAGCAGAGGCCATGATGAACAGCAGGAAGGATGCCATATGGGGAGAGGGTTGTGGTTTGCAGCAGAGCACACGGGATAGTGGTAATGCTTCACCAACAATGACGTAACTATTTGCTCCCATGGATGATGGTGCCTCATCCTTGCCTTGTGTTTCCTGATTTGAAAGCATTTGTCACCTGTCATCCCTTGGTTGCTCATTGGTCAGAAGCAGCACCCACTTACTCTGGTCATAGGTTCCCATTGAGAATGTGTTCTGGGGGGGGGGGCACAGTCTTTTCACCAAGAGACTATGAGAACCACAGACTCAGTCTGTCTCCTAGTTTTGGATAAAACGGCATTAAATGCCACTTCAGAAATGTATTGGAATGTTATGCTTTTTAGGAACATTTCACGAAATACTTTACCAGTGATGGCCTAGGAGAAGTCAGTCATACTCTTTCAACACTATTCAGATATTTATTGGCTGATAAATGAAATACAAGTCATTTCCCCTTGTCCCAGATTCTGTACCTCTTCTTCACTTCAGCTAATCTAATGCACGAGAGCTAAGATCTGGAGATATTATTTGATGGCAGCCTTGCTTGGCGTGGTCTGTCTTAGCTCTTCCGGCCACCACTGTTGTCACCTTGCCACAAAAGATTGCTCCGAGGTCAGAGAATCCTTTAGAAATCCTGAAAGGTCAGAATCAGTCTCTGAGACGTAGGCTGGTTGTCATGGAGATTCAACTGTAACGACATCACTTTATTTGGGAACGAAATAGGAAAGAAATCTTCAGTCACGTGTGTTCAGTTGGGGCCATTTCCTTGAGTCAAGACACGTGGAAAGAACTTCACACTGTTGCCTACTTTGTTGGGAAATAGAAAAGGAAAACAGTTGGGGGTTCTTGTCAACGTGTTTGTCAGCAAAAATCCACAAACTGCACTTTTCTGAGCCTGTTTTCCTCTCTTCTAAATCAAAGATTATATTCTCACACTGCCCAGGAGTTTTTTTTTCAAACACACCTAAGCATCCCCAACCTCCACAGCTCCCAATGGATGGAAAAAGGCAAGGAATGCTGTAGGAGCCACTCCCGGCACTCTGGGCCCCCTGGGAACAAAACACCAAGGTTGAATTATCTATCTATCTATCTATCTATCTATCTATCTATCTATCTATCTATCTATCTATCTATTATTTTCTCTCTCTCTCCCCCTCTCCTTCTGTGTGTGTGTGAGAGAAACAGACATACACACGCACGCGCGTGTTTCTCTCTGTCTCTGTATCTCTGTCTCCTCTTTCTCTCTGTGTGTGCAGGGTGGGGAGCAGGGAGGATACACAAGTGCCGTGTGTACCCCAGTGCGCATGTGGAGGTCAGAGGACAACTTGTAGCAGTTGGTCCTCTTTCTGCTATGTGAGTTCTGGGGATTAAACACAGGTCATCAGGATTGGTGGCAAGAACCTTTACCTGCTCAACCATCTTACCAGCCCTGAAAACAAACGTTAGAAAGCACTGTTTGTTTTATGGGCTGAAATTTGATGTCACCCCTGCAAGACTTGTCAGTCAGCTGTAGGCAAGCTGGGTACCTGGGGTTTGTCCTTCTCTCGATGAGTTTTCATGGCATAAATGCATCCTGGTTGCAGGGCCCAAGAATAACAAAACTATGAGGGACTTTAGTTTAAGCTGCTCAGTTTGTCCAAGTATGAGGGAACAGGCCATGGCTAAAACAGGTTGCTGGCTTCTTGCTGAAGAGAACAGCATTGGATTCTATTGTCTCATCTTTTACAGCATCATGTCACTGTTGGGGAATATTACTTTAAAGTGTTATTTTTGTTTATGTTGCATTTGTTTAACTCCGTGAAGCTGTGTTACTGTGCCTGTCTAAAACACCTGATGATCTAATAAAGAGCTGAATAGTCAATAGCAAGGCAGGAGAAAGGATAGGCGAGGCTGGCAAGCAGAGAGAATATATAGAAGAAGAAATCTGGGAGGAAAAGAAGTAGCCAGAGAGGGAGGAGGACTCCAGGGGCCAGCCACCCAGCTACACAGCAAGCCACGGAGTAAGAGTAAGATTTACAGAAGTAAGAGAATGGGAAAAACCCAGAGGCAAAAGGTAAGATGGAACAATTTAAGTTAACTAAAGCTGGCAAGAGACAAGCCAAGCTAAGGCCGAGCATTCATAATTAAGAATAAGCCTCCACATGTGATTTATTTGAGAGCTGGGTGGCGGGCCCCTCAAAAGAGCAAAAACAAACAACATGTCACCTTCACTTATTCTGCTTGACAAGCTTACATTTGTTTATGTGTGGTTGCTTGTACTCTCCCACCTCACCACACCACTTTAGTTTTGAGACAGAGTCTCACTCTGTAGTCTAGGCGTTTCTAGAACTCATTATATAGTCCAAACTGGCCTTGAACTCGAGATCCTTCTTGCTGGGCTTCTGGGTGCTCCACAGGTGCCCTGCTGTTTTCCGGTTTCACATCATAAGCTCCATGAAGACAGGTGCTATCTATTTTTGCTTGTCTTTGTAACCTCATCAACTAGCATGTTCCTAGTTTGCAAAATGAAGGATGCATAGGTGGGTGGGTGGGTGGGTGGGTGGGACATGAGTGGGTGGATGGATAAAAAACTCAGAAGAGTATAAGAACAGGGAGAAAAATGTAGAAAGAAAAAAAAAAAACAACTGGCTTGGGGAAAAATGTTGCCCAGGGTCATATCTTAAAGAAGTGATGATAAGTTCCTGAAAAAAAAATACAGACTACGATTATATACTAGAGGAAGTAGAACTAGACAAGCCCTGAGGGGTGTTGCCCTGTCCATATCCCTCACCTCCACTGTTCCCAAAGCTTCTAGATGGCAAAAGGCAAGAAGGCTGTGGGAGCTGCTCCTTTACCATCTTAGAGAGCTTGCTGTGCATCTGCATGGGACCCAAACTGCACAGGTGCAGCCTGAGACCTTGTGGCCTTATCTTCACATTTCAGCTCCTGCTGGCACTGACTCCTTGTGTGTCACTAACAGGTCTTTCATCATTAGGATGCTACTGGCATTCGGTGATAATGTTGGGTTTCTGTTCTGGGGCTTTTGTTTGTTCATCCTAATCATTATTTCTCTGAAATGTTGTTTTTTCTATGTTTCCAAACCCAGGCAGGGTGACTGTAATCCATTTCGTAATTATGGCTACAGTCTCTTCTTTGCCCAAGGTGTTTCCATGGTTTCTGATCATACAAAAGCCAACAGCATCGCCCTGACCAAACAGAGGTGCTCACGGTGTTCTTTCAGTTCTGCAAATGCTTCAGAACTTAGCAGAACCACCATATGGTGACCTAGAGAAGTTTCCAGATGGTAGGATCCACTTGTGTCTCAGCGAAAGACGGACGATCACACAGTTCCCTCTCGATGAATGGGGAGACCTAAAGACAAGGTTCTAAGGGGGCTCAGGATTCAGTACTGAAGAGTCAAGGAGGGAACTTACCAAGGGTATGGAGACCACAGAGGGAGCTTGGCTTGGCTGGGAGCTTCTAGTGATGCTTTTACCTGTAACTACCCAAGGAAAAACAAAGACACAAAGCTAAGGACTGAAGTCCCTGGGCCCACCTGTCCCACACAGACCCCTTGGCCAGGAGAACTTTTTACACCTGCTGGTGAGTGTGTTACAGAAGTCCCGTCATTTGACAAGAGGCTTGGCCTCATCCCTACAGGTGAACAAAATGTTTCAAACAAAGATTAAGGCTATTAGGCTGTTGCCCAAAGCTTGTGTGCTGGGGAGGCAAGCAGCCCCACAGATATGGAACCTGCAGTGTGGTTATCTCTGGTTTCCCTCTTCCTCGCCCGCACCTGTAGCTGAAGTTATCTTGTTCCTGCCTGGCTCCCGCGACCCTCAGACCCAAGCAAACACACAGAGGCTTATATTATTTATAAACTGTATGGCCTAATGGCTCAGGCTTCTTGCTAACTGTTCTTATATCTTAAATTAACCCATTTCTATTAATCTATACCTTGCCACATGGCTCGTGGCTTACCAGTACTTTACATCCTGCTCCTCATGTTGGCAGCTGGCAGCATTTCTGCTCAGCCTTCCACTTCCCAGACTTCTCCTCTCTCTTTGTCCCACCTATACTTCCTGCCTGGCTACTGGCCAATCAGCATTTTATTTATCAATCAATCACCCACAGCACGCACCTACTTCCACTTAAGACTACAATGTTCCTTCTATTTCCTCTCATGATGCCTTTATAACTATGAGGGGATTATATCCTCCTCAGCCTGTGGGTTGGCTAGCTGCCTTGGTACCTAAGTGACTAGGCATTAAGAGGAGGGTCATATTCATTCACGTGAAAGATACTCCTTGACCTCTACACTTTCTGATTCCCTCTCCAAGTTTAATTCCCTCCATCCTGGGTTACTTACCTCCTCTATTCCTTTGGCTTCTCCTTCTCGTAGAGAAAAGACTGACTATAAAGATGATCCACAAACTAGTAACCAGTATGCAAACGATCAAGATGGACATTCTGGAAGGAATTACAACAGATATCAGGTCCCTTGGAAGGAAACCTCTTTGGTTTTCTTCTCACACAGTCACTCCCATCCCAGCCCCAGGAGCTCCTGGCAACTACATTCCTTAAGAGTAACTCTGTCCTTTGGACCACAGATCTGATGGGCATCTAATCAAGCTGGGCCAGTAAGTTCTGCCTCAGAAATAAGATGGGGTCTAGGAGTGGAAAACTACAGTCTGCTGTCATTCCTTTGAACGGGGGAGAAATAAACTGAGCAACTGTAAGTGAGTGTCACCTGCTGTGTCAAAAAGAAAAACAGGGAGGGAGGGATGAAAGAAGAGGAGAAGGAAAGAGAGAGAGAGAGAGAGAGAGAGAGAGAGAGAGAGAGAGAGAGAGAGAGAGAGAGAGAGAGAAATACAAGCTGGGGGATATAGCTCAGTTGGCAGAGTGCTTGTGAACTGAGTGTGGCAGCACACATCTATAATACCTTTGCTCAGGAGGAGGAAGCAGGGGCATCAAAGGTTTAAGGTCAACCCTTACCTACAGAGGAACTTGGGAGACTTTCTTAGACCCTGTCTCAAATCAAAAGAAACAGGGCCCAGGGAGAGAGCTCAGAGGCTCGGTTCCCGGCACCCACATTGCCACCCGTAATTATCTTTAGCTCCAGTTCAGGGGATCAGGCTCCCTTTTCTCGACTCCACAGGCACCAGGCACGAACGTGGTGCACATATATACACACATGTACGTGAGACATTCACACGCATGAAGTGAAAATGAAACAAACTCTTTAAAGAACAAGACAGAAGTAGGCAAGAGTGACGTAGGAAGAGAAGGAAGCAAACACACCGGAGACTGTCAGGCGAAAACGCAGCTAGAGACGAAGTCCTGTTGGAATCTTGGCGCCTCTTTCGCCTGCATCCCTGTCTCTGCATTTCAGACACTCCTGTCCCCCTGTGGTAACACCCCCTTTAAAATTAAAGTGACTAAGCCAGGTGTGGTGGTGCACACCTTTAATCCCAGCACTTGGGAGGCAGAGGCAGGCGGATCTCTGTGAGTTCAAGGCCAGCCTGGTCTACAGAGCGAGATCCAGGACAGCCAGGGCTACACAGAGAAACCCTGTCTCAATAATAATAATAATAATAATAATAATAATAATAATAATAATAATAATAATAATAATAACTAGAAGCTATTTTCTGCTGCTTTCAAACAAAAATAGTCATCTTAAAGAAACCAAACCATTACAATGAAGATATTTAGTTTGGGCAGAGAAACAATACACAGTTGAAAAGTAGAAGGTGTAAACCAGTCACTAATGTGTTGTGGTACATCCCACTCCACCCCACCCCATCCCATCATCTCTTCAGATCCCTACTCACCTGGAGCCCTCTGCCTTTTGGATAGCTTTAGAAGTCCTACAGCTCAAGTTCCTGTGCCCTGAAGGGTCTGAATCAGAAAGGAATTGTTGAGAATAAAACCCATTTTCGGACCCTTCCTTTGGCTCCAGCATCATCCCCACCTGTCTCTCTCTTGCTCTCCAGAGAGTAAGTGCATTGTGGACTTTTTGTGTAAGACAATGACAACACTAACTGTTGTATAAACATGCCTTAGACAGGGGGCAAGGCTGTGGGGAGAAGTAGGGGCTGGAATCCAGCTCACAGTGCACCTGCTAAGTCATGCACTCTGCCACGGGGCCCTCTGCACCCAGATGAAGGGATACCTTTTCCAGATTTATACAAAGGCCCTGCACAGTCTAGAAGCAGTTCGTGGTTAGAGACCCAAGCTAAGGTCACTCCGAAGGGAAAAAAGCTTTGGTGTATCAAATAGCCAGTCCCATCCTTGGGGAATGGGTCAGTCTGTGACATAGGTCCTTCTTATCACTACAAACAACCCATGGGAGAGCCCCACATTGCCTCCTCTATGTTTCAGTAAAGGAGCAAACTTGGATAAGACTCCTCTCTTTCTAAACTAAAAGCTCAAGAAATGCTGTAAAAAGTAGAAGCACACAAAGCAGAAACACAGCCAGTGTGGATATTACCCACTCAGTGGGATGCTAGCTTCATCAGTTACCAGTAGATAAATGTGAGCAAGGCTCTTCCCAGCTTGAGAGGCGGGGTGGGTGTGAAGTGTCCCACAAGTCCTTCTTATGTGTTTTCCAACTGTCATTGGGCTCCAGACAGTGACAGAAAAACATCATTTTTTCTAACTGGTAATGATGGGAGAACAGCCAGTGCCTTCCACCATTCCCTGCCTGAAAGACAGGGACTTACTGGTGCTGAGAGTTTTCCAGCCTCCAGACAAGGAGCCTGCGAACATTGGGAGGTCCCAAGAGTTAGCACCAGCTCAAAGTCCTAGTCTGGCTTAGGCAGACTTTGCCTCCTGGTTCCAGTCCCTCCAGTAGCCTCCAAGGGTTAACTGCATTCCACATAAGTTAAGACAGGTGCTGGCAAGTTTGACCGCTATATTTAATTTATATTGATTACTAAATTTTTTAAAGCTCTCCAGTCTCAAGAAGACTGGGTCTCTTTTTGCAGCCTCAGTCATGTCTCAAGCTAGTCTCCAAGGTTCCGGACCTATAAGGGTGAGATTTCATGATAGCCTTGGCTATCAGTACAAATATCTCACTCCTGACTTTCCAGCCTCTTCCAAGGTCTGTGAGTAAGACTGCTCTGAGGAAAGGGAAGTTTTAAGCACACCCAGAGTTCAGACACTCTTCTTTCCTATGAAATTCTACCTAACCCCCACCCCTACCATACTAAGTGGAATTGAGAGAGCAGGTTACCTTAAATAATACAAGAGGAACTTGTGAGTTGGTGGCCACTGCCTTCAGTGAGGTGTTTTTTGTCTGTTTTTGTTTTTGTTTTTGTATTTAGACAGAGTCTCACTTTGTACCTCTGCCTGGCTTGGAACTCACTATGTAGACCAGGCTGGCCTCGAACACCCAGAGATCCACCTGCCTCTCCCTTCTGAGTGTTAGGATTGTGCATGACCAGCCCTGGACCCTTCAGTGAGTTTTTACTACCTCAACAAACCCGCATTACCTTTCAAAGATCCCCTGGCAGTCTCTTTACCAGGTAAAAAACCAGTGGCCCGGCCATCTCCGTTGTCAGTCACAATCAGCTGTGTAAAATCCATGTCATCTCGGGCAAAGTCCCGCTGGATACCACACCAGTACCAGCCTGTGTCCTCCTTAACCAGGCAGGACACCGTGATGATGAGTTGGCTTCCTGTGTCCTTCAAGACCACACGGTTGGTGCTGTTCGGGGTGAGGGCGACGATGTTGCACGAGTTCCTGAAATAGCCCCGGCACCAGTACTTGGTGTGGTCCTTGTAGTGGGCATCATAGTTACAATTAGCAGAAACTGTGTCCAGCTCAATGCCTGACTTCACCTTTTCGTCCATGACCATGGCATCTGTGAACAGACACACACACACACACACACACACACACACACACACACACACACACACACACAGAGTTCATTATTCTTGGAAACACACTGACCCTACTGAGCTCCTGAAGGATGGTTCACTGGAATTTGGGTTTTGTCCTTTTGAATTTGATCACTCTTATGGGCTAAATTGCATCCTTCACATGTTGAAACCTTAATCCCTATAAAGAAAGTGATGCGGCTGCATTTAGACATAAGATCTTTAAGAACAAAGTAAGTTAAAATTAGATCATTAGGGTGGCTCTCTTAAAAAACTTTTAAAGATTTTTTGTTTTATTTTATGCATATAAGTGTTTTTTCTGCATGTATATAGGTGCACCACAGGTAAATAAGTGCACCACATATATGCCTGGAGCCTAGAGGTCAGAAAAAGATGTCAGATCTCCTGGAACTGAAGTTACAGATGGTTTTAAGCTACCTTCTGAGACATCTCTCCAGGCCCCGTTAGGGTAGTTCTGAATCCAATATAGCTGGTGTCCTTACTTAAAATTTTTGAAACAGATGAAGTTAGACAGAACCATGTGAAGACACAAGAAGGCAGCCAACTGCAAGACAGAAAGAGTCCCCAGAATGACATCAACTCTGAAGAAACCTTTATTTGGAGATTTGTGACAGTTATTCTTGATGTCAGTTTGATTGGACTTAGAGATGCCTAGATTAATCAAACATATCTCTGGGTGTTTCTATGTGGGTGTTTCCAGAGAAAATTAACTAAGGGTAAAAGACCGTCTCTGAATGTAGGCAGCTCTAATTCATGTGCTTAGATCCCACAACCATTGGAGAAGTCTTTTCTCTTAGCCTGAGAATGTGTGAGATGTGAACAAATGGAGCCTTGGACAACTTGAGGTTTGTTTTGCCATCTACTTCCTTAGCTCTGCTCCTAGCTCCCTCCCTTACCTTGGCAGCAACTAAAAGGAAGCGAAAGGTTAGGAGGCTTGCAAAGGACTAAAAATAGAGGGTCTTGTAATTTTAGGAGTTGAGAACTTGCCATACAAGATCAGTGTGGGCATCTCTATCATGTCAGGATATTGCAAAATGAGGAAGTCACACATGCAACCTCCGGCTTCACCTTGGCTGGGAAATACCTGACCAGAGAGGAGAGATGGAACAACAGAACCCATCACTCTCAGCCTTCCAAGCGTATGTTGAGGGACCTCCCAACTCCCGCAAGAGGCTGCTTCCAGTGTGTCTTACAGGAGATAACACATTCCTACAAGTGTCAGTTTCTTCTCATCACAACGAGACAAGGAGATCTGTGATCCTCAGTTCAAAGACAAGGATGCTGATGCACAGAGAGCTACAGCAGGTCTACAGGGAGCACAACTGAGAGGTGACCCAGCTTGGGGCAAGTCCCGTTGCTGAGTACCATCTTTGGTGTCAGGCTTAGGCAGAAAGGAGATAAGCATGTCTGCCTATATCTGTGCGAACACGTGAGGGAAGAAAGGAGAAGAGAATGAGAATTGGGGACACTGGGGGGAAAAACACTGCAGAGCTCCAATTTTAGTCAAGTTCCCCACAACTCACTTATCAGAGATAAGGAACTAGGATCTCTTAATAGGGCCTATGAACAAGACATTTTCCCATAAAACGGCTTAGGTGCTTTAAACTGTTATACTAAGCAGGGGCTTTAAGTAGAGAAGAATTGAGCTTCCACAGAAGGTTGTGGCTTCTGGGTAGAGGTGTTCCTTACCAACATCTTACCTGAAAAGAGAGCCAAGGAGAGCAGAATGAAGATCTCCATGGTGAGAAGGAAGTAAACTTCAGCTCTAAGAACAGAGGACCTCAGGGACTCTGGATCTGCAGGAGGGAAGCATGTGTTTGAATTTAAGGTGGTGTTATCCTGTATGAAGGGAGAACCAGCAGTTACTTTGAGCAATGCTGCTGTGCAGAACCAGCCGGGTTGTGTCCTGTACAATGGGAACTCACCATAGGAATATCATTCTTGAATAAAATGTCATATTTGCAGCAACTTTGAACATCTGAGCTCCCCGCAGAGCCCAGATAAGCAAGAGAACCCTCTTCTTGATTAAATCCACTTGGCATACATCCTTTATAGATCCCAGAAGACTAGACACATTACCACTGGCACATGTTCGTGTGAGCAACTGTACCCTCTCTTGATATGTGTTAAAAGAGGCTGTGCCTCTTGTCCCTCCATCATTCTTAGGGGCTCAGTTTCTATTTAGATGGGAGGAATCCCAGCAAAGAAATCCTTAAGTAAGTTGAGTACGAAACTACAGTGAAGACCTGGGGAGTGTGGTTAAAGGTGGAGCATGCCAGCTGCCAGAAGTATATATGCCTGCAAGCTAGAATAGATGAGTACAGCTGTCAACAGCTGGGGCTGAGGGGCCAGATTCTGGAAAGCTTTTCTGAGTAGAACTGGGACACATCAAGTGGGTCTTTTCATGCAGTAGCAGCAGCAGCTTCTCTTGAATCCTGACAGATATACATGTTCTGACCACTAGCTTTCAAAGTTTGAATTCTTGAAAAACTCTAAATTCTCAAATTTAAACTGGGTGCTCCTTGTTGTACCCTAGAGCTTCCCTTCAAGGGCCAGATGTAGATGACTTTTCTACATTGTGCAATAACATCCTTTCTTGAGAAAAGGGGAGCCTTCCTCTAATTCACTGGAATTCAGCATATGCACTTGTATCAAGCTTGCATTGTGTAATTACATTACATTATCGACTCCTCATTGGTGATCTCTGTTTCAACCAACAAAATGTGTTGGACAAAAAGAACTGGAAAGAAGAATTAATAGATTAAATGAAGTTGAGTGAAATGTCTTGGCAAATGATAATATATGAGCCCATTACACTGCCCAGATAGCTGACGTTGTTAACTGTTCATTTTGTTTCAGGTGTGTTAATAGCATCATCACAGCCTGTCCTAGTCAGCCTTTCTGTTGCTATGGTCAGAACACTGACCAAAAGCAACCTGTGGAGGAAAGGGTTTATTTCAACTTATAGACTACAGTCTGTTGTTAAGGAGGACTGGCAGGAGCTCAAGGCAGGAAGTTAGGCAGAGACTATGTGGGAAAAGTGCTTACTGGTCTCCTTTTCATAGCTTGATTAGCTACCTTTCTTATATAGACCCAAGCCTCCCTGCCCAGACCATAGTGAACTGGGCCCTGATACATCAATTAGCAAGCAAGAAAATACCCTCACAGACTTGCCCAAAGGACAATTTGATGGAAGCAATTCCTCAACTAAGATTTCTTATTCTCAGATATGTCTAGGTTTATGTCAAGTTGACAAAAACTAACCAAACACACCAGCTAGGTATACCAGATGTCCCTTGGTATGTAGTCCCTCTGAAGATGAGTCAGGGCTGACCTGCATGATAAAACTTGGCAGAAGTACGATGTATGTCTTTCAAAAGTGGTACAACTTCTGCCCCAGTCTCTTGTACTGCTACCTTGGGGGAGTCGGCCATCATTTTATGAGGACTAAAGTGAGCAATGGAGAGACTCACATGAAAAGGCAACAACTTACCAAATATCACCTTGTTACTCATGCCAGAGTCACCTTGGTAATGGCCATGATCAAGCTTTCAGATGTCTGACCCAGCAATCTCATGAGACATCATGAACACTGAACCAACCAAGAAGATGTTTCTGAATTTCTGACCCATACAGAACAGGAGCACATAATAAAGGCTTGTTGTCTTATGTTATCCAGCAAATAATAATTCTGATTTTTTTAAAAAATACATTCCTTATCTCTGTCGATACTAGATGCAAAACAATCAGTGTTGTTCAGAGATGGCACCCAATAACCAAAGAAAATGTCATCAGAAATAGAAATGGAGAGTGCATGGTAAGTTTCAGCAAAATGCCCAAGATAAAGAAAAGTTACATTATAAATAACGAGAGTAGGGTGTGGTGGCACACACTGTAATTCCAGCACTTCAGAGAGGGAAGCAGGAGGATCAGTTGTTCACGGTCATCCCCTATGAGATATCAAGTTCAAGGCCAGCCTGGACTAAATGAGATTCTATCTCAAATTGAAAAATCAAATAAATAAAATAAATAAGAAGAAGGGGGTATGAAGATGCTGGCAGTCAATGTTAGCTGGTGCTAACTGGTGTTAATAATTCTGTTCTTCTCTCTTGGGGATAAGATTAATCTTTAGATTTAGGGAAGTAAAAAGTACATAGGTACTGAGACTAAACCAAGTAATACTTTTTAGAACATCTTTTATAAGTTTTTATAGAGGAAATAATTTGAAGTCCAAAATGTCAAGATAATCAGGGCAGGGTTAAGTGGATACGGTCATGAATGAAAAAAGAGAGACCATAAATCAATAAATCAATAAGTACTACAACAGGATAGTAGGTAAATGAGAGCTCATTATCCTAGTCACTCCACTTCATGGCTTGATTTGACAAAATAAAAAGTAGCAAAACAAGGGCCAGTAAGATGGCTCAGCCAGTATAGATGCTTGCCACACAGGCCTGACCACCTGAGTTTGATCCCAGAACCCATATGGTAAATAAATGGAGAGAACCACCTCCACAAAATTGTCCTCTGACCTCCATATTGGCGCTGTCACACGTGCCCCTTCACACACACACACACACACACACACACACACACACACACACACACACAATTTTTTTAAGAAACCAAAGGACCCTGGCTTGAATGTTATTAGTCCCGTGTTACAAATAACAGCAGACACAGGAGATAGTAAGTGATCCAAGTTCACAGAATCAGGAGAGCCAGTGTGATCTGATGTGAAAATAACAGCAATAAAAACCTTTTTCCATTGCACTATGTCTCTCTGTCTCTGTCTCTCTCTGTCCCTCTCTCTCTCTAACACACACACACACACACACACACACACACACACACACACACACACACACACACTGCAATAATCTGGCAAAACTGCAGGGCACTTTAGAGTTTACAAAGAGAATTACATGCACACTGTTGTCTGAGGAAGTCAGGTTTCTCACTCCTGTCCCACCCAGCACTGGTGTTTAGCAGCAGGATTTTTCTTGAAACCATGCCTGGAAATTATGCATATGGATGATGATATCAGCATAGAATTCTGATTGACAGCCTGCAGGAATCTGCCCAGGAAAGCAGCCACTAGTCCACAATAAGCAGCAGACCAGGCTGCAGGCAGTGGGATTGTTAGGGAGTCGGGTTGTTATCTCTAGCAACAAATCTCTGGAAGTCAGACACTGACCTCTGTTTACAATTATCCTCAAATCGCCAAGGCTTGTCGAGAACGTGGTGGCTTCCTCAATGGTGGTTCTCACTGCAGTTCATGAACAAGCAGATGTGTTCTCTGTTCAGAAGCATCTGGATGTCCCAGTGCCACACCTGCTCAAGCCCCTGCTTTTTCTCTCTTCTGCTTCAAAAAACTTAATGGGCTGAAATGGCTCCTACATCATCAAATTGAAAATCAACCCTGTGTATACTGTAGAATCAATCACACTTACCACTTAATCCGTCAGCCACCACCAAAGCTAATTGACCAACTGCCAAACTGAACTTCTAGCAACAGGCTTACCATGTTAACCAATTAAATACATTTTCTTTGTCATGCTGCCATCGAGACTCTGTGAAAGCCTCTTCACCTGCCCCGTGTAGCAGAGCTGTTTGCAATCTGCAGATGCTCTTTTCACAAATCCTCGAATACTCAAGACAATCTCATTAAGATTTCAGTGTGTTGATCTGGAGAGATGGCTCAGAGTGAAGAGCACTGGCTGCTCTTCCAGAGGTCCTGAGTTCAATTCCCAACAAACATGGTGGCTCACAAACATCTACAATGGGATCTGACATGCAGATAGAGCACTGACATATAAAATACATTTTAAAAATCAGTGTGTTTTAACTGATTTTTTTTTTAATGGGCAGGACTGGTGCTCTTACACAGTCTATTCTCTCACTCTCCTGTCTCAGCCTGCTGAGTACCTCTGATTACAGATGGGCACCACTACACCTGGCCTCTGCCTTTCTCTTAAACACCACTACAAAGATTCCCTACTCTTCTGCTTGCCTGAATCTGAGCCAAGTGCCACAGCAAGTTCAGAATAAACTAAGTGAGGTAGCTCACACCTGTAATCCTAGTACTGGGGAGGCTGAGGTAGGAGGACTACCATGAGTTCTAATGATAGTTTAGGCTACATAGTGAACTTCAGTCCAATCTGAGCTGAAACTCAGAAAGACTGAAACTCCTCTCTCTTCTCTCTCCTCTCTCTCCTCTCTCTCTCTCTCTCTCTCTCTCTCTCTCTCTCTCTCTCTCTCTCTCTCTCTCACACACACACACACACACACACACACACACCACAGAGGAGAAAATGCTTTTTGGTGACATTTGGTAGGCTAGTCTCTATTTCCACTTGATTTATTTAAAAAAAAAAAAGAAAGAAAAACGAAGTAATAAGCCCATGTATTTGCTATCTACATTTGTTCAGTGTCTTCACATGGAAGAGGAGAGAACCACCCCTGGATTTGTCTGGATGTCTCTGTACCCTTTCCCTTTAGAGAAAAAGCCCTACTTAGCTTTCTGTTTTCACTGGAAGGCTGCTGGCCAGAGGCAAGCTTCACGGGAAGATCCCTGCTACACTCATCTCCAAACCTGAAACCAGGGTGGGTCTACTTACTTGCAGCCAGAGTTTTTTTTTTTTTTCATTTGACTTCTTTATTTATTCTTTGGAAGTTTCACATCATGCGCTGCATTTCCACTCACCTCCTGGTCCACTCCATATCCTCCCCTTTACCCCTGTGGCACCTCCCCCACAAAACAAAGCAAGCAAACAAACAAACAAAAATAAGA